GGACCGTCGGAGAGTTGCAAAGAAGAACTTGCAACAATCCTTCAAAAACGTATGGAAAATCAATGATTTCGGCTTCTTCGGGCCTTCATGGTGGAGCTCTTGAAGGCCTCTTGGGGCCCTCTTGGGCAGTCTCAGGCCATCTTGGAGCCATCTTGGGCCGCCTTGGAGGCTTCGTGGACGAACTTGAAGCGATCTTGGACTCTGTTTGGCCGTCTTTGGGACATCTTGGACCATCTTGGGCAAACTCGGCGGACATCTTGGGTTGTCTTGGAGGCATCTTGGGCGCCTCTTGGGCAACCTTCGGCTCTCTTGGGGAGATGTCTGCCGTCTTGGTTGCCATCTTGGTCGTCTTGGAGGTCATCTTGGCAGTCTTGAGGTATCTTGGAGACCATCCTGGCAGTTTAGGAGACCTCTTTGGCCGTTTTGGGGTCCTCTTGGGGCTGGCTTGAAGGCCTCTTGGGCCGTTCTGGAGCCATCTGGGAGGCCTCTGGGACTAGTTTGGGGACTCCTTGGGCCGTCTTAGGCGGTCGGAACACCAAAACCGAGGAAAAATTATGCTAACGGAGTTCCCCACATAAAGAAATTAACGGTTTCGTGGGACCCATTTTTTTGATGCCCTCCTCGCTTTGGCGGGGCCCCGCTGGAAGGGGGGAGGGCTACGAAACCTGGCGAAGAGTAATGCTTTCCGCGACCCTCCTCGTTCAAGCGCGGCCTCTCTGGAGGAGTGGAGGGGGGACACGAAACCGTGTAAACAGCATGTTTTCCGATACCCTCCAGGAAGAGGAGGAGGAGGAGGAGGAGGAGGAGGAGGAGGAGGAGGAGGAGAGGATAAGATGGATGATGGCGAAGAGCAGCAGCAGGAACCGCAGCAGGAGCAGCAGCGGGAGGTTGGTTTGAGTGGTCTCATTTTCCTCGTGAGCTCCGGCACACAGACTCTCAATCCCACCAGCCCTCTGGGCGTTGGTGGTTTCCTCGCTCAGGCGGGGCCTCCCTGAAGGGGTGGGAGGGGCACGAAACCGTGTAAAGAGTATGGTTTTCCGATACCCTCCTCGCTCAGGCGGGGCCTCTCTGGAGGGGTGGGAGGGGCACGAAACCATGTAAATAGTATGGTTTTCCGATACCCTCCTCGCTCAGGCGGGGCCTCCCTGGAGGGGTGGGAGGGGCACGAAACCATGTAAATAGTATGGTTTTCCGATACCCTCCTCGCTCAGGCGGGGCCTCCCTGGAGGGGTGGGAGGGGCACGAAACCATGTAAATAGTATGGTTTTCCGATACCCTCCTCGCTCAGGCGGGGCCTCCCTGGAGGGGTGGGAGGGGCACGAAACCATGTAAATAGTATGGTTTTCCGATACCCTCCTCGCTCAGGCGGGGCCTCCCTGGAGGGGTGGGAGGGGCACGAAACCATGTAAATAGTATGGTTTTCCGATACCCTCCTCGCTCAGGCGGGGCCTCCCTGGAGGGGTGGGAGGGGCACGAAACCATGTAAATAGTATGGTATTCCGATACCCTCCTCGCTCAGGCGGGGCCTCCCTGGAGGGGTGGGAGGGGCACGAAACCATGTAAATAGTATGGTTTTCGATACCCTCCTCGCTCAGGCGGGGCCTCCCTGGAGGGGTGGGAGGGGCACGAAACCATGTAAATAGTATGGTTTTCCGATACCCTCCTCGCTCAGGCGGGGCCTCCCTGGAGGGGTGGGAGGGGCACGAAACCATGTAAATAGTATGGTTTTACCCTCCTCGCTCAGAGAGCCGAAACAATGTAAATAGTATGGTTTTCGGATGGTCGGCTCAGGCGGGGCCTCCCTGGAGGGGTGGGAGGGGCACGAAACCATGTAAATAGTATGGTTTCGATACCCTCCTCGCTCAGGCGGGGCCTCCCTGGAGGGGTGGGAGGGGCACGAAACCATGTAAATAGTATGGTTTTCGGATACCCTCCTCGCTCAGGCGGGGCCTCCCTGGAGGGGTGGGAGGGGCACGAAACCATGTAAATAGTATGGTTTTCGATACCCTCCTCGCTCAGGCGGGGCCTCCCTGGAGGGGTGGGAGGGGCACGAAACCATGTAAATAGTATGGTTTCCGATACCCTCCTCGCTCAGGCGGGGCCTCCCTGGAGGGGTGGGAGGGGCACGAAACCATGTAAATAGTATGGTTTCCGATACCCTCCTCGCTCAGGCGGGGCCTCCCTGGAGGGGTGGGAGGGGCACGAAACCATGTAAATAGTATGGTATTCCGATACCCTCCTCGCTCAGGCGGGGCCTCCCTGGAGGGGTGGGAGGGGCACGAAACCATGTAAATAGTATGGTATTCCGATACCCTCCTCGCTCAGGCGGGGCCTCCCTGGAGGGGTGGGAGGGGCACGAAACCATGTAAATAGTATGGTATTCCGATACCCTCCTCGCTCAGGCGGGGCCTCCCTGGAGGGGTGGGAGGGGCACGAAACCATGTAAATAGTATGGTATTCCGATACCCTCCTCGCTCAGGCGGGGCCTCCCTGGAGGGGTGGGAGGGGCACGAAACCATGTAAATAGTATGGTATTCCGATACCCTCCTCGCTCAGGCGGGGCCTCCCTGGAGGGGTGGGAGGGGCACGAAACCATGTAAATAGTATGGTATTCCGATACCCTCCTCGCTCAGGCGGGGCCTCCCTGGAGGGGTGGGAGGGGCACGAAACCATGTAAATAGTATGGTATTCCGATACCCTCCTCGCTCAGGCGGGGCCTCCCTGGAGGGGTGGGAGGGGCACGAAACCATGTAAATAGTATGGTATTCCGATACCCTCCTCGCTCAGGCGGGGCCTCCCTGGAGGGGTGGGAGGGGCACGAAACCATGTAAATAGTATGGTATTCCGATACCCTCCTCGCTCAGGCGGGGCCTCCCTGGAGGGGTGGGAGGGGCACGAAACCATGTAAATATATGGTATGGTATGGTATGGTACGGTATGGTATGATATGGTATGGTATGGTACTGGAGGTATGGTATGGTATGGTACGGTGTGGCATTGGTGTGATATGGTATGGTATGCTATGGTACGCCATGGTATGGTATGGTACGGTATGGTACGTATGGTGTGGTATGGTATGGTATGGTATGGTATGGTATGGTATGGTATGGTATGTGTGGTAGGAACTATGGTATGGTATGGTGTGTGTGGTCGGAATAAATCTTGTGCTGTATGGAAGATGGAGCGGGAGGTGGGTGGGAAGGAGAGGGTGTTCTGGGAAAACAAGAACCCCACTCAGGATGTGGGGAACAACAACCCTTCAAAAGCCCAAGGAAACTTTAAGATTTTGGCTCCCTCGGGCCTTCCTGGAACACCTCTTGGACTCCTCTGGGGCAATCTTGGAACCTCTCGGGCCCATCTTGGGCCATCTTGGCCGTCTTAGCGGCCACCTTGGCCGTCTTGAAGCTCATCTTGACCGTGTTGGAAGCATCTTGGAGGTCATCTTGGCCGTCTTGGAGAACGCCTTGGGCGTCTTGGAGGCCTCTGGAGCCGTCATGGCGCCCTCTTGGGGCCATCTTGGTGGCCTCTTGGGCCGTCATAGGGCCATCTTGGAGGCCTCTTGGGCACTCTGGGGGCGATCTTTCGGGCTCCTTGGGCCGTCGTGAGCCGTCGGAATGCTCGAAAAGAACAAAAGCCAAAATCCTTATATAAAAACCAAGGAACACATTCATTTTGACCTTCGGGCTCTCGTGGAGGACCTCTTGGAGGCCTCTTGGGCCGTCTTGGAGGCCTCTTGGAGGCATCTGGAGCCGTCTTGGGCCGTCTGAGAGCTTCCTTGTTCGAACTTGGAGGCATCTTGGACTCTCCTGGGCCGTCTTAGAGGCCATCTTGGACCATCTTGGGCGAACCTGGGGGCCATCTTGGGTCATCTCGGCCATCTTGGAAGCCATCTTGGAGCCATCTGGAGCAGGAGAAACTTTTGGAACCACCCTTTCTGGGCCATTCCGGGACCCCAGCGGGCGGGGCCGAAGCCCCAGGGGGAGTTCTTTCGGAAAAAGAACCAAAACCCAAAGCGAAAGGATTGAGCACGCCGGGCACCCTTGTGATGAATCAACAGGGGGCGGCGGATCTAGTGCTTTTCGGCCCACCCCACCACAGTCCCTGGGTCGGCTTGTTGGAGGCACCTTGGGATCTCTTGGAAAGTCTATTGAAGCTTGGTATTCAGCCGTCTTGGCTTAGCCTCTTGGGAAGCATCTTGGTGTTCTCCCAGGAATATCTTGGGAGCTTCTAGGCGCTTCCTGCCTCTTGGGGCTGGCAGGCGGTCTCGGACCGTCTTGGGGTGGTGGACCTCACAGGCCCCTTCGAAGTCCCCGCCGGGGGGCCCTCTTGGAGGCCTCGGGAGCCGCATTGGACTGATATTGCGGGCCTCCTGGGCCGCCCTGGGCGCTTTTAAGGCTGAGCAGGAGAGCATGCAAAAACCATATGACAGCTCAAGGTTATTCTGTGTCTTTTGCTCTCTTTGAATCGACCCCAAAGGCTTCAAAGACGGCACTAGAAGCTCCTAAGAGAGCTCCAGGACGGCTTCGAGGTGCCATCTTAGGATACGCGGGAAGCGTAGACTCCCAATTGCTCTCCCAAGGCCTCCAGAAAGGTAACGCCGCGATCCCCAAAGGCGCCCAGGAGCGGCCGGCAGCGCCCAACATTGCCGGAGTTCGAGGCTCGTGGGTATAAAAGAGTGCCTTGTCAACACGGAGAGAGAGAGAGAGAGAAAGAGACAGAGAGAGAGAGAGAGAGATAGAGAGCTCGAAAGGACTTGAGGACACTCCATTTCGAGCCTCGCGGCACGGTCACGGACATACAGGGTGGGCAATGCGAGGAGCGATGTCGGACAATGGACGCGACAGCTGGAACTTCTCCCGCCATCGTTGTTCCCTTCTTCTCTCACCACCCCGTTGTCCTCCTACATTTCTTTGCCTCTCATTATGTCCTGTGCTCTCTTCCCCTCCTTTACCCCTCGCCGCGTCTCTACCGCTCCAACTTCCCAGTTCCGTTGTCTTCAGGACCACTGTCGCGACGTCGTTCTCACTTTGGAGGACTTCCTCATCAGGCGCGAAGAGGCGGGCGACTCGAAATTTTCACACTCGCTTTATCCGTGCACCACCTGTTCAAAACTATAAATCTTATGACATCTGTGTATAACGTGATTAGTACGTGCGCAGATGGCAACATTACGCAGCACCCTGAGTCAGCTGTACAGACTTACGCACATGTTGTTTCACATATTACATATACAAATCAGCTACCCAGATGCAGGTCCAGAGGCAGCTTCCCAGACCATCGCCTCAGGACTCACCCAGTCTGGGAATCCGTGGAGTACTTCAATCGGCTGGGTGGCAAGCATATTAGCTACATTGAATCGGCAGCCACATGTTTGTTGGCGTTCACGTAAACCTAGCTAGCCTACGTGGTGGGAGCAGAAGATTGGGGGCCACTGCCTCTGTGCGCAGCGGAGCTGGCGACTGCGGCCCGCGGCCCGCTCGCAGCCGTGGCCAGTCCGCTCATGGGCGGGGGTGCCCGCGCTGATGCTGTGCCGACCTGGGGGTTGGGGGAACCCGAGACCCTCGCATCGGGCAGGTCGCCGTGGGGAGTGCGCTCGTAGCTCCTAGGATTCGTATCGCCGTCACGCTGGGGGTGTTCGTGGGATCGCGCTCCACGCCTGCCACCTGCCGTAGCAGGCCATTAGCTCATGAGTGCCACGTTCAGAGACAGCCGCCCCGTGTCCGCTCGCGGCGGTCTGATCCCGGCACTGTGCAGAGCTCCCGTCTCCTGCGTTGGGATTCGTGGAGACAGGAGCTCCGTCTTGTGTCGCTCGGTCCCGAACCTAGCGGGCTCTGCCGCCTGATTCAAGCCGCCGCCCCCCAATGTAGTCTGAGGTATTCCTGCGCATCGATCGGGGGAAGCTCAGCAGTCGCCTAGATCTGGCAGGCCGGTCTCTGTCACTATCTGGTCTCCACCCAGCTGTCTGGCCTGGCTCCTCGCTCCGCTCTGCTGCCTCGGCGGGGGCCCCTCCTCCTGCCAGGGAGGCGGGGCTGCATGAGGGCTATCGCCAGGAGCAGCAGAGTCCAGCGGCACACAGGCGGGGGCGGGGCTGTCTGCCGAATCGCCGCTGCCGTCCGTCTGAGGGGGGGCACCGAATAGGTGCACGATTGGAGTCTGCTGGAGCCCCCCCGGGCCCGCGTCCGGGGTCGCCTCCCGAGAGGGAGCAGGCTCCGGCGCGCGGAGGGCATGCGGCGGCCCGACGGGGCAGAATACCGGCATCGTCCTCTGGATCGCGAGGCGCGGAAGGGGTAGTCTGGTCGCCCTCTGTCATTCGGGATGGTCCGAGGTCCAGGGGAACAGTTTCCTGCGGCGTGGCTACCGACGGCCCCTTCGGAGCCTTCGTGGGTATCCCGTCTGCCACTCTGGCCGGGGGCGGCCGTCCCGGCTTGGTCCTGGGGAGTTCTTTCGACGCGGTCGGGGGCCTCCCGAGGCCCGCGTTTCTCATGACCCCCGGACAGCGGGTGACCCTGGGGCCTGAGCGCAGGGGGTGGGAGCCGAAGCAAGGGGGGCAGTGGGGTTGACGGCGAAGTCAGGGAGGACAGGGTTCCCCCCTGCTGGCCTGGCCAGGTTGGGACCCGGAACGTCACCTTCCTGAGCGCCTGGGATGGGGAAGGGAATGAGGGCCCGAGAGTCCCGTTCGTCTCGGCACGTGCGTGCAGGTCCCAGGGGTCAGGGCGTAGGGCCCTGTGAGAGGGGGGCGCCCCCTGGTGCCCAGGCGAGGAGTTTGCTCGCAATCATCGGGGAAGTTGTCTGTCTCCCGTCCTAAGTGGCCTCCTCGAGCTCCGAGCACAGCAGCAGCGCGGCTGAGGTCGGCTGAGCCGCGCGGGGGGGGGGGAGCCGAATAGGTGCACGATTGAGAGTACTGGGAGCCCTCCCTGCAGCCGTTGGCGTTCCCACGAAGGGGGCCGCACTGGCGCGTGGAGGGCAGGCTGCGGACTGAACGGGGGAAGTAGGCGAACGTCCTCGTGGCATCTCCGACTCGAGCGGCACTGGGTGGGGAACTGCTGATAGGGGGGACGCCGAATGGGCGCGCGATTGAAAGGCACACAGCCCTCCCTGCAGCTGGACCTGCGCTCCCTGGGGGAGACGTCCGAGCGCGCGGGGGGCATGCTGAGTCCTGAGGGGGCAGTCCCAAATTAGCGTCCTCTCAGGTCGCAAAAAGGGAGGCCAGGCGAACCGGCGCTACCAGGGTTAACGCTGGGACTGCGTGGAACGTCTTCCCGAGGAGAACCTGGAGAGGACTGGCAGAGGGCCACGCGAGGCCCGGAGTTGGGGACAGCGCTCCTGGAACGGTCCGCGAGAATATTTGGGGAGGGCGTGCAGCCTGGGGGCGGTCACCGGCATTCCTGTGGGCGAGGGGCCTGTGCAGGCCGCCGGCTCCTGAGAGGTTCTCCCCCCATGTGTCCTCCCGGTTCTTCTGGTACTCCATCCTCCTGGCCGTCCATGGACCGGCGCGGGGCGCTGACGCCGTCGTCCAGGCCTGAGGCAGCGTCTGCTGGCGCAGTAGGGGTCTGCTCCGCGAGTTCGATCTGGGGTCTGCCGGCGCGCAATGCTCTCCAGCTGCTGCTGTCTGGGGTGCCGTTGCGCTCTCAGACTGGTCCGAGGGGCTGATCCCCCTCGGGGGCTGCTCCACCTGGGGGGCCTGGGCTGGGTGCCCCAGCGCTGGCGCCGTTCCTCGAGGGTGCCGGGAAGTTGCTCCACCTGGGGGGCTCGGGCCGCCTCGCAGGGGGCGGCGTCTCCGTCCATGGGGAGTCGGCGCTGCTGCGGGGGGTGCGCCCTGCGCCATCCTGGGCATCATGATCAACGGTGCCAGGGGGATCGCTGGGGGAGCCGCCTCTCCTCCGAGCCATGCTCCGTAGAAGCGAGACCAAGCTGGGGCGCCTCCATGGATCTTGGCGGGATCAGGGCGCTGGGCCCAGCGAGCTGAACGTGAGCCCCATCAACCAGGGCTGGGGGGGCAGTGATGATGTCGGATGAAAGTTCGGCTGTCCCGCCCCCCCCCCCGTGAGAGCGGTAACTCCCAAGCTGGTGCTCGGGGGGAAAATTGGGGAACGCAGACGCGAACTTTCGGCACATCCCTCACTGCACCCCGAGGCCTACTTGAGGGTTTCCGTCCAGGGATCCCCCCGCGGGGCTCACGGCTAGGCCAGGCACAGGGGGAGCGGCGGGGGCCGCGGGGGCTGGGCGGCGGCGGCGCGGGGACGGGGCCCCTTGCATCGAGCGCGCGCCCCCTTGAGCGCGGGAGACCCCGAGGGGGGGCCGCATGTGGTCTTGAGCCAGAGGGCTTGAGCCAGAGGCTACGGACACACGCACACACACGCACACACGCACACACACACACACATGCACGCATGCACACATGCACACACACACACACACTTTTTGGCGTGCGTCGCAGCCACGCGCACAGCGGCGCGGCGGAGACAATCGGGCAAGAAAACGCGCGTGGCTGGCCCAGATTACGCGGCTGGGATCCGCCCATAGGGGATCGACCAGATCACCCGCGGTGGGCCGTCAGGGGAGGGGGAGAGGGGGAGAGTGGTGGGCAAGTGGCAGTGCGAGAGGCAAGTGAGGGCGCAGTGCGAAGTGAAACGGCACACACACACACACACACACACACACGCATTTTTTGGCGTCGTGGCCACGCGCGCGGCGGCGCGGTGTAGAACAGGTGCGTAGAACAGGTGGAGCAACAACGGCAGCTACCCAGGACGAAGGACAAAGGCAGCGTAGGAGCCTGCGTCAACCAGCAGAACGAGGGGGGAAACGACGTCTGGGCATGCGGCCCGCGGGCAGAGAGGGGTAAAGCAGTGGCGCCGGAGGTGGGGCGTGGCAGCAAAACGACACACCCACACAAAACAACACAATACAATACACACGCATACACACATGTACACACACACACACGCACACACGCACACACATATACACACACACGCACGATCTGGGCGACTGGTTGCACCTGGCCTAATGTGGAGCCTGGAGCCCCGGCGCTTGACTTTTGGAAACATTCGCGTTTTCCTGGGCTTCTCCGTTCCTGCATCGGTAGCGGTCCGCGCGATTGTCGCCACCGCCCCCCTCATATTGCGAGCTCGGGATGAGGCGCTACACTTGTGTGTGAAAAAGGTTTTGGAAGGAGTAGAAGTAGAAGTAGGAGAAGGACGAGGCGTGAGAGCCGCGCACAAGTTTGAGATAAGTCCCTCCTCCACTTGATGTTTCGATTTCCTCTTCGAACAGACCGAGACGAAGGCAGGGTTCGTCGGCTGAGGCGCCAGCCGTCGCAGTCGAAGCCGCAGTGCTTGTGGCCGAATCTGGGGGCGGCGGTGCTTTCTGAACGCATTGGTGGGGGTCGAAGCGGGGATGCTCGTTCGCGATGTCGGGGGCATTCGACTTTGCTTCGGGGACACAGGTCGCCGACGGTCCCCCTTGGGCGACGGCCTCCTCCTCCTCCTCATCATCATCATCATCATTATTATTCTCCGCCTTCACACTCTCTTTCTCTCTCTCTCTCTCTCTCCTTTTCTCCTCACCGCCTCTCTTCGACCGTTGAAGGGAGCCGCCTGCTTCTCAGGCCCGCAACGCCGCGGACTGGGCGGAGGCAGACAAGATCCGAGACGTTCTCAACATGATGGGCATACACTTGAAGGACAAAGAGCGGAGGTGGAACTTGAACGATGGCCGAAGCGGAGAGTACCCTCCCAGATTCTGAGATCGGCCCCTGCGCTATACCTGCCTCATCTCTTTGGCAAATATATGATGCGAAAATGGCGCCCCTCTCTCAGCATGTTGCTCCGCATCTTGTTGCTGGTGTCGTTTCTCAAGTGGTCTGCCTCCTCAGAGCAGGCATGCAGAGTCCTTCGCGAGCAGAACAGGAAAGAGGAGGACCGATCTCGTCACTGCCTGGCAGTAAAACCCGCTGCGGAGGTTTATCAGTGGGCACCGCCAGCCAAGCAGCGTTTGGAATCTCAGGGCGTTCCTTTTTTGAATGCCGTTTTACTTCCATGCCTACTCTTGTTCACCTCGCTTTCTCCGCTTCCACTTCTCCTCCTGTGTTCCTGCACCCTCCTGCACGTTGGGCAATCTCGACCCTTCTCGCTTAAACTAAATATTACGATGATCTACGCTACCAGGTGTACAGGACACCCCAGAGCTAACAGTCGGGAACCTCAAGTTTTAAAAGTCATATTGATGCGTTCGTTCGCAGAGTTCTTGCATTGCAAGGTTGGGGTCGACCGGGCAGCGATTTCGTTGCAACCGCATGTTTTTTGCACCAGCACGTGATCACAATGTGACGTGCCAAGTTAGCCCTGAGGGCGGATACGCCACTGGCTCTTGGATGTGCAGTGGATGGTCGAATCAGTTCGAACATGTACCGGTAGAGTGAATTGTCGTTTGCCCCGACGTCAGTTTGAACTTCGCGCTGCAAAGCAATTGCACAGGAGTCAGTTTAACCATCCCATGCAAAGTGGAGGGCGTCAACTCTGACGGGGGTCCGCCAATCACATCTCTTCCCTCAGCTGATCCTGGTGGGAGCTACTGTGCGATCGACGAGGATTTGCGATATGGCCCTGGCTGACTCGGGTTACCACATCCCCGACATTCCCAGAACTCTCACGTCGTGAATGTTTCCTTCTGGGGACTCCTGGAGACCACTTCCAGCCACTGACTTCTCCGAGTAGTTCCCCACATGCTTCGTGGGGTTATGGTTTTCATCCCTCCCGCGTCGCACCCGCGTCTCCTTATACGCCCCTGCCCCCTCTTCTCCCCATTGGACACACGCGCACACACACAGACACACATCAGACAGGCACACACGCACAGCCGCGAAGACACACACGCACACACACATACACACACACACAACGTCGACATACAGCCGCACACGCATCATACACATACACAAGACACGCTATTCGCAAGAAGTACGTGTAGGATCCGCAGTTCGTAGCAGGCGTGGCACTTTCTGGACATCACAGCGGGTGTGCAGGGGGTGGTCCCCCTTATCCGTTTCGGGCTGGCAAGGCGTGGCAGGCGTGGCAGGCGTGGCACTTCCTCGACACCACGGGGGTGTGGCAATTGGCATGGTCCCTCAAACCGTTTCGGGCTCGCATGCGTGGCAGGCGTGGCCATTCCTCGACACCACAAGGGGGTGCAATGAGGATCGTCTTCCTATCCGTTTCGGGCTCGCAAAACGTGGCAGGCGTGGTAGTTCTTGAACACCACGGGGGATGCGCAGGGGGGGGGGGGTCACCCTATCTGTTGCGGGCTCGCAAGGCGTGGCAGGCGTGGCACCCCCTCGACACAGGCGTGGCATGGTCCCTCAAACCGTTTCGGGCTCGCATGCGTGGCAGGCGTGGCCATTCCTCGACACCACAAGGGGGTGCAATGAGGGTCGTCTTCCCATCCGCTTCGGGCTCGCAAAGCGTGGCAGGCGTGGCGCTTCCTCGACACCACGGGGGGGTCGCTGGGGGTGGTCCCCCTATCCGTTTCGGGCTCGCAAAGCGTGGCAACACACGGCGGCGGCGACAGTGATTAGCGCCGACACCCGGCCGACAGCAGGAGGGCGACAGGCGCGACGCAAGCGGCTTCAGCGGAGGGGGACAGCAGCGCCCCCGCCATCGCGGGACGGTTGGACCCAAACGGCTACAGATCGGAGAGAAAGAGGAGGCGGGGGAAAGATGCGCTTCAGCTGGCGGGCGATGCCGACATGGCTACAAACAAGAAGAGAGGGAGCAGGGGGGGTGGAGCCACAGAGGCAGGCGGAAAGGGCTCCTCCTTCTCCCCCCCTCCCCCCCTCCATTGCGACGTCCTACGACGATGGCGACGACGTTGACGACGACGACGACGACGACGACGACGATGATGACGGCGGCGGCGGCGGCGGCGGCGGCTAAGGCGACGGCGACGACGACGGCGGACGACGACGCACTTCGGATGCTCCATGGGGGGGGGGACGGTGGTGCTGCGCATGGCCGCTGTTGTGGTCGACGACAACGATCACGACGACGACGACGACGAAGACGACGGACGACGACTCACAGCGGATGGCCCAAAAGTGGGTGCTGCGCTGCGAATCCCGCTGCAGTCGATGACGAAGACGATGGCGACGGCGACGACCGACGACGAAGACGAAAACGACGACGACGAAGACGAAAACGACGACGTTGCGGATGCCCGATGGCTTGGTGGGGGCTGCGTAGGCCAGCTGTAGTCGACGACGGCGGCGACGACGGCGGCCGACGACGGCGGCCGACGACGCAAAGCGGATGCCCCATGGGTGTTCGGGGGGTGTTGCGTAGACCCGCTGCAGTCGACGCCGACGACGACGATGATTGAAGACCGACGACCGACGACCGATGACAGACGACCCACGACCGACGACGACGACGATGACGACGACGTCAGTAATCAGCCTGGGAGGGGGATTCGAAGGGCAATCGTTTTGAAGCTGCCGTGCAGGGGGTACACGATCCCGTCGGAGACGCCCGCGACGACCCCCTGGCGCGCGCAATCAAAAAAATATGTCGCGCCCCATGGGGAGCCCATCATTTTTTAATCGCACGCTGGCAATACCCGTTTCGGGTTCGCAAAGCGCGGTAGGCGTGGCACTTCCTCTACACCGCAGGGTGCGCTGGGGGTGGTATCCCTTAATCGTTTCGAGCTCGCAGCGCGTGGCAGGCGTGGCACTTTCTCGAAACCACAGGGGGATGGATGCATTTGGGGTGGTCCCCCTAACCGTTTCGTGCTCGCAACCTGTGGCAGGCGTGGCATTCTCTCGACGCCGAGGGTGTGCCTTGGGGGTGCGGCCGCTAACCGTCTCGAGTTTGCAAAGCGTGGCAGGCGTGGCACTTTCTCGATGCCACCAGGGTGTGCTTTGAGGGTGCGGTCGCTGTCCATGTCGAGCTCGCAAAGTGTGAAAGGCGTGGCAATTTGCTCGACTCCTCAAGTGGGGTGCGTTGGGGGTGCGGTCGCTATCCGTTTCGGGCAAGCAAAGCTTTGCAGATGTGGCATTTCCTCGACTCCACCGGGGGGTGCGCTGGGGGTGCGGTCGCTATCGGTTTCTGGTTCGCAAAGCGTGGCGGGCGCGTCTTTTCCTCGACTCCACGGGGGGTGCTCTGGGGGTGCGGTCACCATCCGTTTCGGGCTCGCACAGCGTGGCAGGCGTGGCACTTTCTCGACTCCACAGGTGGGTGCGCTGGGGTTGCGGTCGCTGTCCGCTTCGGGCTTTCAAAATGTGGCAAACGTGGCATTTTCTCGACGCCGGATGGGGGTGCCTTGCGGATGCGGTCGCTATCCGCGCAAAGCGTGGCAGTCGTGGTACTTTCTCGACGCCACAGGGGGTGCCTTGGGAAGTCGCTATCCGCTTCTGGCTCGCAAGGTGTGGCAGGCGTGGCACTTTCACAGGGTGGCAGGCTTGGCACTTTTCACATGGCGCCAGATTCAGACGGCCTGGCAGGCGCGTTGCTTTTCGATTCGGGAGGGGGTGCTCACGGCAGGGGGAACGCACGGTGGTGCTGCACCAGGCCTTCCAGGCTCGCAAAGCACAGCAGGGGAGACGGGAGGGTAGGACGACGCTCGCCGTTTCCCCTAACTCTCGTCCTCGGGGGGTCGTGCCCCGCTCTGAGGTTCTCAGGAAGCGATTCGCTACGTCACTGCAATCCGTTGGATGTGAGGGGGTATAATTATTATTATTATTATTATTATTATTATTATTATTGTTATTATTATTATTATTATTATTATTATTAGTAGTAGTAGTAGTATTAGTAGCAGCATTAATAGTAGTAGTAGTAGTAGTAGTAGTAGTAGTAGTAGTAGTAGTAGTAGTAGTAGTAGTAGCAGTAGTAGTAGTAGAAGTAGTAGTAGTAGTAGTAGTAGTAATAGTAGTAGTAGTAGTAGTAGTAGTAGTAGTAGTTCTTGTTGTTGTTGTACTAGTAGTAGTAGTAGTAGTAGTAGTAGTAGCAGCAGTAGTAGTAGTAGTAGTAGTAGTAGTAGTAGTAGTAGTTGTAGTAGTAGTAGTAGTAGTAGTAGTCGTAGTAGTAGTACGCGTAGCCGTAGTAGTCGTAGTAGTCGTAGTAGTCGTAGTAGCCGTAGTAGTCGTAGGAGTCGTAGTAGTCATAGTAGCCGTAGTAGTCGTAGTAGCCGTCGTAGTAGTGGTAGTGGTAGTACTAGTACTAGTACTAGTACTAGTACATTTACTTGTAGTCGCAGTAGAAGTAGTAGTAGAAGTAGTAGTAGTAGCAGTGGTAGTAGTAGTAGTAGTGGTAGTAGTGGTAGTAGTAGTAGTAGAAGTAGTAGATTAGGACTTCGTAGTCGCAGTCGTAGTCGTAGTCGTAGTAGTAGTAGTAGTAGTAGTAGTAGTAGTAGTAGTACTACTACTAGTAGTAGTAGTAGTAGTAGTAGTAGTAGTAGTAGTAGTAGTAGTAGCCATCGTCGTAGTAGTCCTAATAGTAATGGTAGTAGTAGTAGTAGTAGTAGTAGTAGTCGTAGTCGTAGTCGTAGTCGTAGTCGTAGTAGTAGTAGTAGTAGTAGTAGTAGTAGTAGCAGTAGTAGTAGTAGTAGTAGTAGTCGTAGTCGTAAAAGTCTAGTACTAGTAACTAGTACTAGTACTAGTACTAGTACTAGTACTAGTACTTACTAGTAGTAGTAGTAGTTAGTAGTAGTAGTAGTATTAGTAGTAGTGGTAGTAGTGGTAGTAGTGTAGTAGCA